CCATTCATTCATTGCTGTCAATTGCTATGAGAACACGACCCTCACAAGGATGGCAAATCTACTGTACTCACCGAAAGTCGTGAATTGCTCAATCGACAAAGAAGACTGTTGGTAGCGACTGAAGCGTTGAATGAGCTTGGCGACATCTTCGTACAAAACTCCGGTTATCCGCATTGTGAAATTTACTATTATCCCCTGGTAGATAAACTATTTTCCCTATCCTTTTTGATGCACATACTCCCTCTCACAGCACCTCGATTGCAATATAAGAGACTATCAATTCAATATTTAGCCATGTCGGACTTTGCTCACTAGTCGATAACAAGTAAATTTATGGAGATGTGTAGCTGTGGCGCGGTGAATGTATCACATGAGCTTCTTAAACCAATCACAATGGAGATATCGTTCATGACTAGCGTCATGCACCGCTTGCTATTTTTTTAACAAGAGAGGGGTGATAGGTATATTTTTGTTGTTCTTTAAAATTGACTCGATGAAATGCCCTATATATCACACTAAAGAAGAAAATAATTCCTCTCCTGAATATTTAATTTTTCAAAGATACAAAAATCTGGCTAGCAATTTGCGAGAAACCGATCAGCAACAACATATAGAGATGACAAGAGTCTTAAAGACAGACTACCACCCCGATCAGGAGACTGACACACTCGGCTACCCGGCACCGGTCAGGTATATCACGGTATTCTGGAATTTCACTCAGATAGCGCGAGCAGTCGCTTTCTTTATCTGGGAGCCTGGCAAGACTGCGTTCCTTTCTCAATCCTTACGTCCATGCCTTCTCAAAATCGAGTATTGTTTACAATTGCAATTTCTGCCTCTAATGTAAGGTGAAACAAGTATTGCATCATCCTTCAAAGGTGGCAACAATTCTTTCGCCGGTACCTTAAAGTGACATCAAATCTGTGTTCTAGCCCCAGTCTTTTTGCGAGATATCTACTATTACCTTTGTAAGTAGTGATAATAAACGGAGAAAATAGAAGCTCGTCACACTTAGGGGTTGAACGGTTAAACAAGAATTTTCAGGCAGTACTGTAGACGATTTGAGCTCGACGACACTCATGAAGATAGCATTGTATTGTTTTTTAATTGTATTACTATTGTATTTAATTTTAGATCGACATTAGATTTCACAAACGTTCTCCCAAGGGTGTTCTCACCAGCGTTGAAGTCATACTCAGACTTTTTCCCATTTTCTACCGACTCCTCTTATGACCTGAGTCCCATACAACCCTGTTAAACCCTACACAATCCTTTAAAAGCCTATAGACCCCTATATAACCCTGCTAAGCCCTATATAGCCATGCAAGCACTTATACAACCCTGTAAATCCCTATAAAACCCTGTAAACCCCTATACAACCCTGTAGATCCCTATACAACCCTGTAAACCCCTATACAACCCTGTAGATCCCTATACAACCCTATAAACCCCTATACAACCCTGTAGATCCCTATACAACCATGTAAACCCCTATACAACACTGTAGATCCCTATACAACCCTGTAAACCCCTATACAACCCTGTAAACCCCTATACAACCCTGTAGATCCCTATACAACCCTGTAGATCCCTATACAACCCTGCAAACCACTATACAACCCTGTAGATCCCTATACAACCCTGTAGATCCCTATACAACCCTGCAAACCACTATACAACCCTGTAGATCCCTATACAACCCTGTAGATCCCTATACAACCCTGCAAACCACTATACAACCCTGTAGATCCCTATACAACCCTGTAGATCCCTATACAACCCTGCAAACCACTATACAACCCTGTAGATCCCTATACAACCCTGTAAACCCCTATACAACCCTGTAGATCCCTATACAACCCTGTTAACCCCTATACAACCCTGTAGATCCCTATACAACCCTTTAAACCCCTATACAACCCTGTAGATCCCTATACAACCCTGTAGATCCCTATACATCCCTGTAAACCCCTATACAACCCTGTAGATCCCTATACAACCCTGTAGATCCCTATACAACCCTGCAAACCACTATACAACCCTGTAGATCCCTATACAACCCTGTAAACCCCTATACAACCCTGTAGATCCCTATACAACCCTGTAAACCCCTATACAACCCTGTAAACCCCTATACAACCCTGTAGATCCCTATACAACCCTGTAGACCCCTAGGCAACCCTGTAAACCCCTATACAACCCTGTAGATCCCTATACAACCCTGTAAACCCCTATACAACCCTGTAGATCCCTATACAACCCTGTAAACCCCTATACAACCCTGTAGATCCCTATACAACCCTGTAAACCCCTATACAACCCTGTAGATCCCTATACAACCCTGTAAACCCCTATACAACCCTGTAAACCCTATACAACAATGTAAACCCCTATACATCCCTGTAGATCCCTAAACCACCCTGTAAACCCCTATACAACCCTGTAGATCCCTATACAACCCTGTAATACCCTATACAACCCCGTAGATCCCTATAGAACCCTGTAAACCCCTATACAACCCTGTAGATCCCTATACAACCCTGTAAACCCCTATACAACCCTGTAGATCCCTATACAACCCTGTAAACCCCTATACAACCCTGTAGATCCCTATACAACCCTGTAAACCCCTATACAACCCTGTAGATCCCTATACAACCCTGTAAACCCCTATACAACCCTGTAGATCCCTATACAACCCTGTAAACCCCTATACAACCCTGTAGATCCCTATACAACCCTGTAAACCCCTATACAACCCTGTAGATCCCTATACAACCCTGTAAACCCCTATACAACCCTGTAGATCCCTATACAACCCTGTAAACCCCTATACAACCCTGTAGATCCCTATACAACCCTGTAGATCCCTATACATCCCTGTAAACCCCTATACAACCCTGTAGATCCCTATACAACCCTGTAGATCCCTATAGAACCCTGTAAACCACTTTCTCAATCCAGAGATCAAGCTCTTTCTGAATTTACATTTTTTGAAAAAAGCGTGTTCTTTACCTGCTACACTTGTATCCTCATAACCTTACAAATATTATTGCAGATGTAAAAACAGGCCAATCTGGAAAAGGTTCTTGTGTCAGATTTTGTTGCTTGCCTTAGCAAGTTGCATTTTTTCTAAATAAACGCATTCTTTACCTGCTACTCTTTCTATTCTAATCACACTTTATATATATTTGAAATAACATGCAGTTGAAATAAAACTCAACATGTCTTTTAAAAAAAGTAAGGGAATTAAAGAAATACAAAAGCACTGAACTACTTCAGAAAAAAGCTGCAGATGGAGGAAAATTAACAATGGCCAGAATAAATCAAAGGTCTGAGTTAAACTATCATTAGAAAATACAAAAGAATTTAACTTCCAAAAGAAAAATTACAGATAAATGGAAAAAAAGGGTTATTGGTTAGAGGGTAAATTTAACATATCACTAGGTAAACTGAAGACAACTAAATTTATGGTACTTTCCTAGACATTTTACCATTTTTTGAACAGCAGAAGAATCTCCTTGAGTAGTCCCACGGTCTTCAAGCTAGTGAGACGGGTGAGAATGCAACAGAGAAGCAAGCATAATCAATGATTGACGAGCCGGAAGAACAGGGGGAGATCTTGAAGTTCATCGAGCAAGTTTGTGAATTTAGTAAAGAAGTAGGTGAAAGAGGTTTTCAGGCTTTCACGAAGGCTTGCAACCAGACGAAAATCAAGAAGAACCAAGCTTTAGCCAAAGTTTGGTTGCGCTGCTCATGAATGCGCTTCCTATGTACAGTTGCATAGTACGATAATTCTAAATATGTCCATTGCTTAGCTGTATATTTTCAAAACTCTTCTTTTTTATACCTTAAAACATTATCATTCCTTTCGAATGGAAAAAACATGTTGACCTTTCACCATAAAAATAGTGCGAAATTTAATGCCAAACTGTGGGTGTCGCTGGACCAATGTTTTGCACGCTTAATTGTTCTGAATATTTTCCCTCTTTCACTTGATATTTTGCAAAACTGGTATGTTCATACCTGAAAGCATGACCATTGCTTTAAAATAGCAAAAACATATGGACCTTTCATTGCTGTAATGGTGGGAAATTAACACCAAATTGTTGGTGTCGCTGGACCAATGTTTTGTTCGCTCAGCCTATGTATGGTACACTTAATATTTTGCAAAACTGGTATGTTTCTACCTGAAAACATTACCATTGCTTTAAAGTAGCAAAAAAATACAGACCTTTCATTGCTAAAATGGTGGGAAACTAAAATGGTCGCATATTGCGATATTAAATCTGAAATTTGCCATGTTCCGTCCATTATCTTGCAAAACTCTTGCGCTTAGGCGTTAGAACATTACTTTGGCTTTGAAATAGTAAAAACACGCTTACCCTTCACCCTTAAAATTGTGCAACAAGAAAAAGGATAAGATTAAAAGAGAAGGGCTATACTAAGACTACGATAAAGGTGGTATTCGCATGACCGATGGAGATCTGGAGAGTTGAAGTTTCCTGCGTTTCATGAAATAAATCCGCTTGCTTTTCGATATACAAAATCATATACCATCATATTACTCTTTCTAGGTTAAGAATATTAGTAATGACCAATCACGCTGGGCCAGCGTGGCCTCAGAAACGGACCTTGCATTTGTACCAAATTAACCACATTGAACGTGCATATTTTACTTTTAGAGGCTTGTGTAGACTTCGCTTTGATTCTGATCATCGATCAAACAGTAGCCTCCAGTAGTCTCAAGGGTACAAGTGGAAGTCATATAATTTAATTTTTTTAATTTTCGTCCTTGATACCGAGAATAGCTAAATAGAGGCGAACCTGTATTACAGCGGTCACCCGCGGGGAATGGCGCTAAATACCAACCTCGTTCCCAGGGCCTTTTCCCTTCGCTGGGGGTGAGGCCCCACCCCCTACCAAGGGAAAAGGCCCTGGGAATAAGGTTGGCTAAATACAGGTTGACCGCTCAATACAGGTTCCACAGGATAAGAGTGTTATAACAATCGCCATTTTATTCCAAAATTAAAACCTACATGTACAAAAACTCGCTAAAAAAATACTTTTACATCGATGTCGGGAAGTAAACATGGATTAAATATACTTGAAAGATTATCCTTAGTTTTGTTTGACCAGTCCCACTTTACGTGACCGCGGAGGACAATGCAAACAGGCCGTTGGGCCCTAGTAGAGGGTGACCACGACCTCTAAAGAGACAAAACCGCTTAACCGAGGGGAAATCAATTCAGAGTGATACAGGGTTATCGTTGAACACTTTGCTGCTAAATACTGGTTCGACTGTAGGTTTGCCTCACTAGGACAACTTGACAGTTATCATTGCGACGTGCATTGTCCAGATTGTCCAGACTCACAAACCGGCGCGTCTGATTAAAGGAAATCTTGTAGCTGTAGTAAATACAACTTACATGAAATGAATAAATTTATGTTACGCATCTCCACTCATCTGAAGTCAATTTACTTTTCACTCAATAATCTTCTGCATTTCTCATGGAAAATAACATCAAAGACAAGCGAGCTATCTAAGTACGTTGCCTGCACATTGGACCCTAGGGTAGAACTCACCAGTTCACGACAAGTTCTTTTTTCCAGCTATTATACAGCCTCCTTACTCTCTCACTCTTCTATACTGTTACATAAATTTATTTCTATGCCATTGAATTTGGGGGAGATCTCGGCGGCCTCGACCATGCTGAGCTGATAGTCTAGCTTCGTAATTCTTTGGTGTCCTTTTGGTGTACTGAGGTAAGTTTTCACTTGCTTCAGCTGATAGCGCCTGTAAAACAAAAGGCAACACGCAGTCAAACCAAACATTTGGTCACCACTAAAATGTAAATAGGTGGATAGTTTGCGTTTGGTTTCAACCACTACCAACATGTTTATGTATATGATGCACGTCCATCATACGATGCAGCAACCTACAAGTTCAAAGGTGTGAAGAGGCGCTGCCCTCTGACTCGTGCACCCTCCTCACTGAGTCTCGCAGCCAGTAAGCAAGGATTCAACACACACAGAATGTTTAAGATGAAGACGAAGAGTTGAAAGCAAATTTATCTGCCTTTGGAACACTTTGACCTTAGGCAATCTGTTGAGCATTACTGCCTCAGCATTGTAAAACATGATAAGCTCTGCCGACGAAGATGTGGAGAAAACATCGGGGCAGGAATGCAAAACTTCAATACAACTATTGTCCACGACTCTCAAAACCGTCTATGCCGAGCTATCGAACATCTCAGCCAAACAGATCAATTGTGTGTAAACAAAACTTGCCCCTCCCCGTTCCCTTCTGCACTCCATTAAAAATTAAACTGATAACTTACTCTCTCGATCATTCCTCTTCGGCCTTACAGTTTACTTTTATGGCATCTTTCCTGAGTTTACAGTGAAGTCTAATTTTATGATAAATTGGAAACCAATTCCTTGTGACCTTGCAGCTACTCCGTAATTTTGTAATGTTTTGGTGAAATAAAATTTTTGTAATAGACATACCAGTCTAATTTATTCTGCCATCTCTTCTGTGCTGCTGACCATTAGCGGGCACGGCGAGTGGAGCGTATGGTAAGTGGCATTTACTGTTCTAATTGGGCTGTAATCTCTTCGACCCTTTGAAATCATGTCGGTTTTGTTCAAAAAATAGTATTTGACCACATTTGATTCATTGACAGCCCTAATTAGATATGGGACTACAAGGAGGTCCAGAAAGGGGTCCAGCAGATGAGGGGGTCCAGGTTTCCTCTACACGAATCTTTTAATGTCAGTTAAGACAGAAGGCTACTGTACATAACGTCAAGACAACCAAAGTCTTACCTTTAACCAGATCACCGCATCTGTACCAAAACCCTCCATGGAATAAAGTTGCAATTCTCCATCAAAATATCTGGCATAGAGTCTAGATAATGGCAGCCCGTATCCATAACCGGCCTAACACGAAAAAAAGTAACATATCAACTGCAACACAATGGAGCTTCCTTTCCTTACAAGACCAGAACTGGACTGGCTCATTTATCAAAGGTCCTTTATGTTAATCTTCTTTATTCCCATCAGCCGATTCTGTTTGATGGCGTTCCAGAGTGAAAAGAACATTTCTTATAAGCATTTCCAAGAGTGAAGGGCCAGTGAAGCCTTGTATCTAAGTTACTACTAACAGGTCCCAATACACTGTAGGAAATTGAGTTTCACATTGTAGGAAATGGGGCGTGTTTTCTTACTATAGGTGAAGCAGGACCAGCTTTTAGTGGCTCTGATGCTGATGTATAGTGATACTCAAACACTTGGTCAATTGTACTCCTTGGGATTCCACCTCCTTGATCAGAAATCTAAACAGACAAAAGGAAAAGAATTCTAAACTCAATTAACAAACATTAAAAGCTTTCGTAATGAAAAATTGCCAAAAATATTAACAAGAGAGTGGTGATTATTCAGATAAAAATGTAACAATGAATTTTGTCTGTGCTAGATAAGAATTTTCCCATTATCCAAAGGTTAAAAGTATAAGTATATGAAAAATTTCTGCATCATGAAAATCTGCCACCAATCTCACTCTAAGAAATAAATGTTAACACATCAGCTGTCCAACTGACAATGATTAAATAATTCAGTAATTTACCATAGGCTATTATCTAGTCAAGCAACTCTTGGCCAAATATTCACCCCAAAAATCTTGGAAAATTAGAACAGTTTATGGCAAAATTGGAAAATAACAGGCATGCTATCATGCTACTCTTGGAGATAAAGACTGAAGTGCAATACCCACCCATTTTTAGGAGCTTAGAACAAAAAAAAAATTGTTATTACCTTGATTGTCATGTCCTGTCTACCTTTGGTTATCATCATCTTTATTGGAGGAATGGAAATATTGCTTCCGTGTTGCTCCACAACTGCTCGCATGGCATTCTGAAATATAAACCAATGGTAAGAGTGAGTTTCCTCAGCAACAAGTTCTTGTTCAATTGTTTGCCATTGCCATCTGCATTCCAATTTGAGAAGCACATGGTGTCGTGCTGCACACTTAATTTACAGAGTTCAAGCACTGCAAATGGAATGCATAGGAAGTCTCCAATGCCACTTTCCCTCTTGATTTGGCTCTCTCAATACAATTCACAAGGAGTATGATTTTGACAATGGTAGGTAGTTTGAATGAGAACATTTCTTTTTTCAAAAAATGAGACTTATTATTTTCTAAGTGGTTGTGAAATGATTAACTGGGTGCAATTAGCTCATAAACAAAATTGGAATCAATTGAGAACAATTACATTTTTTCACCTCAAAGGCACTTTAAATAGTGAGCCAAGAACATACCTTCAACAATTCAAAGAGCATGTGATACAAGTGTTCAGGAACATAGGCCATTTGGATTGGTTTCTTAAGATCAACAGCTAAATGGAAAAAAAACAATGTTACAACAATGTTCAACCTTCCAACATTAAAAACAGTCTCTACAAGAGTAATTAAGAGGTGTTTGTGTAAAAACACAAACTGGATCTACTTCAAAAAAAGTGTTCATGTGTATGTACAAATGTTACATTGAGGGAGGAAAGGTTACCATTAAATTCAGAAATTTCCACCTCAGGAGCAGCACAATAATAATGTTCACAAAGGAAGGCAGCATTCTCGATTGCACCTGGAAAAAATAAGAAGAGGCATCTAATACTTAGTCTGCTACGTAGCTGTTCTTAGGGTCGTCACACAACACTCCTTCCCACGAACGCGCTCCTCCCCACGAACGCGCTCCTCCCCACGTTCGTGGGGAGGAGTGTTGCGTGACGACCCTAAGAACAGCTGTGTAGCAGACTATCTAATACTAAAGCATGGTATCTCTTCACACCCACAATTATGTTGGTACAGTCCTTTGAATGCTAATCCTGTTGCCTTTAGACTAGAAATTCCCCACAACATATATACTACATGAGCAAACAAATAGATTGCTATTATAATTATAAATAAATCTATTTTTCCTGAAGCATCTCAGCAGGCTGGAATCTGCCAGTAACTGGTACTGCTTTTAAACAATATGGACCACTTTCTACAGCAAGGTAGAAAATGCAAACCAGCATTAAGTTACTTTAAAAAGTTTTCACCAATTTGGCTAGGTTGGTTTGAATAGAAAAAAAAACATGTGCCCCTTGATAATGAGTACAGCCCTGGTCCCACGGTGTTTTCCATTAAAGACTCCCCCCTCAGTATATAACAAAAATGTTTATCATAAGTAAATATATTTTTTTTGCAAAAAAAAATTAGAAGTACATTCCTCAGATGGTCTTTATCTAATGACACCAGGACAAAAGGAATTTTGAGTGCTGGTTTTTGAGGCAATGAAGAATCTCAGGGCAAGAAAAAGGACAAACAGCAAACTCCATCCACATGTAAAGTCAGCGAGGTCAAAGAATTGAACCTATGCCACGAAGCAAAGCAATGGAACGGCAATGGAAGGAAAGTGCCTTATCACATAGAATTTTGTTTACGAAAATATGAAAGTCATCTATGTGTACTGCAGTTTAAGAAATGAATATGAGAGTGATCCTTGCAGTTATAAACAATACTTCAGCAATAGTGAAAATAAGGCCTGAAAAAAAAAAATTCATGTAAGGATCAAATACTTTGTACCACTGAAGTAACACAACAAGTTGGGTTAAAACAACCAATGAAATCGCTTTTGGAGCTTCTTGCATCTTCACCAAACAGCTTCACTGATAAATAAAATACAAAAAAGAAAATGCAGAGGTTATCCACAGTTTTGTCCAATCAAACTTTTACTCCTGAGATATAAATTTCAGTACTCTTTATCATTTCCTTACTTATACATGTATCTCTTGTAATTAAGTGCTGAAAATTTGGTGTTGAATCCAGTAATATCTCCTGGTTTTTTTTAAAATTTTTTTTCTATTTCTTAATTCCCATCATCTAGCTGCTACAGGGAGCATTGATATTACTAGTTGGTCACTCTTAAGGAGTGAAAGTGTTAAGCTCAGTTTGTAGTCTACATTGTTACTTTTTGAGAGTTTCTAGAAAAATACCATCCTTGGAGACCTAGGGGCTGAGTCGATTTCAAGTTAGGACGGAAGAGCCCCTGGGAACATTGTCTTACAAGACTAGTTCTAAACGGTCGCAGTCGTTCTGGCATCTGATTGGTGCCAGAAAAGCTTTGTGTTTTTCTGCCCAATCAGAGTGAAGTGTGCTTTGGAATCCTTTCGTGTGTTTTAACACGGACGTATACAACAAGTTTAGTTAATCGCCATGTTGATTTGGGCTGTGTGACGAAGCTTTGCTTGAGGCATAGTTAGTAAATTGAAAAGTTTCAATCTTGGTACACAAATCGATCAGATTGTCCGCGAAAATCTTACCGGAAATTATACAGAATACTTTCCCGGGTATCACAAGAGAACGTGTTTAAAAGTTTGCGAGGTTCGTATAAAACATAACGGTTTCAAGCCTTAATATGTCGCTTAAATGTTAGACGAGATGTAAGCTTAAATCTTTCTAGATTTTTTGTATAATTTGCTGTTACTGAAACTTTGCCAATCCCGTGAAGTTATTTCGTCGCACGGGCCACGCAGGTATGTCGAGCAACTGGTGCAAAGCTGACATTTACAATAAAGCTAACCCGCCATTTCCATCCAATATTTCTTGGTCTTTGGTTTTTATTTTCCCCAATGAAAGCAGTATCGATTCCCA